TTCTACAACTCATAAACATCATCAGTAATGTAGCAGGATACAAGATTAACTCAAAAAAAAAAAATCAGTAGCCCTCCTTTGATAAATGGGCTGAAAAAGAAATCAGAGAAACAACACCCTTCACAATAGCCATAAATAGCATAAATATCTAGGAGTAACTCTGACCAAAAAAGTGGAAGACTTGTGTGACAAGAACTTTAAATCTTTGAAGAAAGAAATTGAAGAAGACACCATAAAGTGGAAAGACTTCCCATGCTCTTGGGTAGGTAGAATTAACATAGTAAAAATGGCAATTTTATCAAAAGCAATCTACTGATTCAATGCAATGCCCAGCAAAATCCCAGCAAAATTCTTCAAAGACCTCAAAAGAATAATATTCAACTTCAGATGGAAAAGCAAAAAANAAAAAAAAAAAAAAAAAAAAAAAAAAAAAAAAAAAAACCAGAATAGCTAAAACAATCCTGTACAATAAAGGAACTTCTGGAGGCATCACAACCCCTGACTTCAAACTTTACTACAGAGCTAGAGTACTGAAAATTGCCAGGTATTGGCATAAAAACAGACAGGAGGGCCAATGGAACCAAATCAAAGACCCAGATATCAATACACACATCTACAAACACCCAATTTTTGACAAAAAGCAAAAAATATAAAAGGGAAAAAAGAAAGTATATTCAACAAATGGTTCTGGCATAACTGGATATCAACATGAAAATAGATCCATATCTACTGCCATGCACAAAATTCAAGTCCAAATGGATCAAAGGCCTCAACATAAAACCAACCTCATAGAAAAGAAAGTGGAAACTAGAAGTGAACACATTGGCACAGGAGAACTCTTTCTAAATATAACCCCAGACACTGAGAAAAATAATTAATAAATGGGACTGTCTAAACCTTATAATAATAAGTTTTATAGGTTAGATGAAATGATAAAGTCCTTGAAAGATTATCAAAACTCATTCAAAAAAAGAAATGATCTAATATCTCCAATAAGAAATTCGATGGTTAAAACCTTCCTTCAGCTGGATGTGGTGGAACACACCTGTAATCCCAACACTTAGGAGGCTAAGACAGAGGGGTTGCAAGTTTGAGGCTATCTTAGGCTACATATCTGATCTCAAAACAAAACAAAAAAATCCTCATAGAAAATACCTTGTCCACACAGCTTCACTGGTTCAAAGAATACTTACAAAAGAAATAATCCTAGCTTTTTAAAAAAAAAATATATATATTTATTATATATGAATATCCCAAGAAACTAAGGAGGATGAATTACCTTCCAGTCTACACTCTAAGGTACATCACTGCAGTGTAGCCAGATAAGAGAATTGCAAGAAGTCTCTATATAGATTAGTGTTCCATGAACATACATACAAAAATCCTTAACAGTGAGGGTTGCATATCAAATTCAGATGAGGCCTCAGCACTGTCTATACCAGGAATGATGGTGCACATCTGCAATCTCAGCATTTGGGAGGTCAGAGGCAGGAGAAGCAGAAGTTCACAGTCATCCCTAGCTACAAAGTGAATTTCAAGATAGACTGGTATGCATGAGATCTTGCCTCAACAAAAAAGAAAGTTCTTAAGAAAATGTAACAGGTCAAATATAGCAAGGTCCATAAAATTTCATAGCAGGTAGCATTAACCCAGAGTGTCACCAAAGAGAGCTGAAAAGAAGGTGACTTCTGAGAGGAACCTCCATAGGTGGTGACTGGAAAAAGAGAAAATAACCCGAAAGACTACGTGTGAGTTCAAGAAGGTGCAGATTCTCTGGGGAACAGGTGTTATGTTGCACTAACTAGGGTGGCTCCTGGGCTTCCAAAGAAGAGTCCCACACACAGGGCTGGGCCCTAGGACCAGTATGTGCTATGTATGATACCATCCCCAGCCAACACTGACCTGCTGTAGAATAATCTTTTTGTACACTGTGAAGATTTGTCACTTGGATTGGTTTAATAAAAAGCTGACTGGCCAGTATCTAGACAGGAAGTATAGAAGGGATAGCTAGACACAGAGGACTCTAGAAAGAAGGGGTCACCAGCCAGAGAGGAAGCAAGACACACTGGAGCGGTAAATGCCACAAGCCTCAGGACAGCACATAGATTAATAGAAATGGGTTCATTTAGGTTGTAATAGCTAGTTAGTAATAAGCCTGAGCTATCAGCCAAGCATTTATAATTAATATTTAGTCTCCATGTCAGTTAATTAAGAAAAGTCTACCTTCCAGAGTCAGGCACAGCACCAAGCTGTAGACATCTGACTGACTAGGCCAAATTGGAGCCCTTGAAGGAAGGCTCATCAATACTTACTGCCAAGGTTTCTTATCTATTNAGATTTCTGTCTCTTCCCCACCGCCGCCTCCCCTTTCCCTCCCCCTCCCCCAACCAAGTCCCCCTCCCTTGTCAGCCCAAAGAGCAATCAGGGTTCCCTGCCCTGTGGGAAGTCCAAGGACCACCCACCTCCATCCAGTTCTAGTAAGGTAACAAGGACTTCCTGAAGTTTGCAGGCAAATGGATGGAAATAGAAAACACTATCCTGAGTGAGGTAAGCCAGACCCAAAAAGAGGAATATGGGATGTATTCACTCATATTTGGTTTCTAGACATAAATAAAGGGCATTGAGCCTATAACTCGTGATCTTAGAGAAGCTAAATAAGGAGAACCCAAAGAAAATCATATAGGCTTCCTCCTGAATATTAACCTTCATCAGGCAATGAAAGGAGACAGAGACAGAGACCCACATTGGAGCACCGGACAGAAACTCCCAATGTTTCTAACAGTCCTTTCCAGTCCTTCCCATCAGCTTCATGGCTGTGAGGTACCCCTGTCCAGCCTTCTCATAGACTTTTTCTTTTGGCCTCCATGGAGGAGAGGTAGTTTCCATTGCTTATTCACAGGAACATGGTTGAGTTCAGGGAAGAGCACGAGAGGTGCCTCAAGTTGACCTCTACCAGAGTTCTGTTGCTGCATCTGAGTGACTCTGCTCCTGGCCCCTGCCAAAGGTCTGAGAAGGGAATTCTAGAAACCAAACCAAGGTGGTCTTGATAGTATACAGAGCAGGTATGGGGGGGGGTGGAAGTTAAGGGAGAAACTGAATGTTCCTGAATAGCAAAGGACAGAGAGTCAAAGCAGTCGCTGTAAGGGGTTCTAAGGAAGGTGGACTACAATAAACAGCAATACCCATGACCATAGCAGGAGCTGATAATTGCAGGCCTAAGATAATAACCATGACAGCAGGCCACCCTCATTTTCTCTTTACTTCTGCCTTGGTTTCCATCTCCACGCCAGGCTTGAGCCAGCCCTGTACATGCCAGAAAGGGAGAACAGACAAGCTGATGAGAAACTGTCAGGAACAAAGGAAGCAAAGTATCAATGGTCATGGCAGCTGTGACTCTGGATGGCAATGCTAACAAAAACAGAATGTCAGGGAGTGTATATTTACAGGATGAATGCAGCCTGGCAGGGTGTGCTGGAACACTGGGCAGAGGCATCCAGCATGCCACCAGCAGGAACTGACTACAGAATCGGTCATAGAGTTGTCTGACTTCCAGTAATGAATTCTAGGGTAGAGGCAGTGAGTGGGGTGTTGGAGGGGCCATAGGGGAAGGAAGGAGACTGTATGTGTGGGAGGGAATCAGACACAACATCAGCAGGAATTGGAGCCCGTCATGCTCTTTAAAGTCTCAAGTTGTAAGACTGGGCTAATATACATGGGATTCTGGGTTCCATCTCTACCCTAAACCACAGGAGGAGGAGGAGGAGGAGGAAGAGGAGCAAGAGAAGGAAGAGGTGGTGGTGGCTTGAGACCAGGTCTTTAGCTTCATTCCAAGTAGAATGGTTTACACTGAGCAGAGCTGTTGAGAATATCCTTCTAGAGAAGAAACCCCGGAGGCTGCCTACTGTAGTTACTAAGGAGACAGAACCAGTTATGGCCCAGACATGCAGCAGGCATTTCCACAGATGAGAAGCACTGTGTCAACCCTTGATGAGAAGACAAGGGCAGACCCAGCAGCAAGCCACATGGACACCCACTGGTGGCTACGGGTGCAGCTGGTTTTCTTCTTAACAGCTTCCTTAGAGGGCATGTGAGAAACTGATGCAAAAGCTGTCTTGAAGAAGAAGGCTGGGGACAAAGCAGAGGGGAGGCATTTTCCACTACATGTTTTTGTGCTGCTAACTGACTTAATTTGCATGACTAATGTTTAAGAATAATTTAAAAATAACTGAGATTTAGCTCTGCTTTAATGACTCTAGCCATAGGCTGTCTTAGCAAACAGCACTTAGTAGACATCTACTCCCAACAAGCTGAATATTAACCTCCTGCAATGTCACTTGACACCATGTGTCAATCTATGCCAACTCCAGTTCTCATGAATATTCTTGAGAAAAGTCTCCAAACTTGAGTGTGGGGAGCCAGGTGGGCCAACAACAGAAGCTTTTCCCAGCACTGGGCACTGAGGGAGGACCTAGTGTATGCCAGTCAACTGTCAGTTCTGTTGGAACTGGGGCCTGGCCACACACACAGCCTGAGCCAGGGAAGCTGGAGAACCACACCTCTCTTCAGAAAGGAAACCTACGCTTCCACCTAAGTCTATTTTAGCACTGAGCCCACGGTAAGAACATCGAGTATTATAAATAGCAAAACCAAGGTTCCAGTTTGACTGGTTTTGCTCTGATGTCAAAGTGGTCGTTGGTCAGGTTAGTTGTAAAGCAGAGAGGGGTCTGTAGAAAGCCACAGTGGGAAGCTAGCCTCACTGGTTTAGACAGCCACACTTGAATTTCCCACCACCATGCCTGAGTCACCAATGCCTGTGGCTTCAGTCTGCAGAAAAACACCTGAGAAATTGTAATGTGGCTGAAGAAGAGCACTGTAGTAGTCACTTCAGAGGCCAGAAAGGAAACGCCTTCCCCAAGTGCCCTCCCTCCTCCCTCCTCCCCCGTACCAGTGAACAGCAGAGCACTGTGTCAGACACCGAAGATGGTGAGGAGCATGCCTACCTTTGTTATGAGACATGGCGTATAGGAGGCAGAGCACGAAGAGGGCATGGTAATCATCATCGGGGCTGTCCAGGGCATGGTATACCATATCCAGGAAGGGCCTGGAAAAGAGGAGAGGTCTATAATCCTCTGGACACATGTACATTTTCCCTCTCTCACCTGACAGCAACAGCTGGTTTTGTTTCTTATAGGTCTGGACTCTAAGGCCACTAGTTTGTGATGAACACAGTATGTGCCTGTGCAGAATCAGGCACTGGGAACACAACCGTACAAATGAGAGATGGGCTCTGACCTTCGAAAGCTGCTATCCAGAGGGGAAAGTGACCTCTTAGTCATTTGATATCACTCACTGGGTGTCTCAGATGCTGGAGACGCTAGGTACAAGTGCCAGCCCTTCTGCACTCCCTTGCCAGCTGGCAGAGACAACACAGGCACACATCATCACTTTAAAGGAAAGACGGAGAGAATAAAGAAGAAAATGGGATGCTCGAATGGACCGATACCACCTGGCCAGGCACATGAGTAAGTTTAAAGGTACAGTTCTGGAGTCAGACTGCCTGGGTTCAGATGCTGATCTGTCTTCTTCCTGCTAAAAACCCTCTGCTGAGTGCCATAACTGTCCCACCTCCTCAACCACACAGAAGCATTCCAGCCAGAGGCTGACTGGAGGGTCTCAGAATAGGGTCATGCACTGTATTTGATTGTTATATTTAATATTTCAAGGACACTTTTCCATGATTTCATTTTGGCAGTGTCCTGATTCAGCAATTTCTTGGGCTAATATTCCTTGACTAGAAGAACTGATAGTGAGGTCTCTCACCTCCTGTGCTCTGTGAATAAGATATAAAGAGTTGCCATAACCTGGAAAATACACATCCCAAAAGCTGTCCTTCTTAGTGTAGGGTCAAGGCTAGCAAGATTCTTCAGTAACAGACAAGAGAATGGACACAGGCAGGTCTGGGGCAGGAGACTCTGATCCCAGCTAAGGTCAAGAATGCCAAGTACTCCAGAGTGAATAAGGATATATTTAACGCCCAGAAGTCACATGGGTATTCACAGCATGGACTACCTATGAGGGTGAAAATATGGCTGCTCAAGGCAGCTCATCCGCTGCAGAGTCTTCCACACTATTCTGAATACTGTAGGCCTTTGTGCGGGATAGAGTGGAGGACCTTGAGCACGCTGGGCAAGTGCTCCACTAGAGTTATAGTCCTAGTTCCTCATCCTAAGCCCTCAAATCCTGATGTATCAAAACAAAATAGTAAGCTGAAAAATGAAAATAAAGTAGTAAAAATGTATTAGTTGTGTTTCAAATAAACACATGACACACAAAGATTATAAGGAAAGCCCTTAAAGTGAACATTGACATTCAGTCTCTATTTTCTAGAGCCCAGGATGGGCTCCTCCATTCAGACCTGTCCACAACCCTATTGTGTGGAGATTTGAGTTTTGTGAGTTTTCTAGCAATAACTCTGCCAAAGTTGAGAGCAGTATAAATTGTAAAACATTTCTTGTAAACCAGCTGCTCACAATTTGGATTGTCTTTACACTTGGGAATAATATAAATAATCAAGCACCAAAGGCTTGGTGGGTGTGCTGTCTTTTAGGTATGAGATGGAGTATTATGAAGCTACTAAACATGTGTTTACTAAAGGTAATGATGTGACAAAGATGGTGGAGTTTGATATTGGACAGCAAAAGGAGAAATAAAACATGACAGGCATGAGCACATGCCCAGAAAAGTGGTCCTGAAAAAGTTGATAAGAAATAATCAAAACCGGAACATCTGGGATCATCGACTTTTATTTCTTCTTTGCACTTGTGGAGTTTTCACATTTTTAGAATGTGCATCATCATTTACGTATCCTTAAAGGTTGCTGAGCTGGGCCTGTGGTACACACCTTTAACCCCAGCACTCAGGAGGCAGAAGCAGGTGGAGGAGTTCTGTGGATTTCAGGCCAGCCAGGAAGAACAATATATTAAGACTGTCTCAAAGCAAAACAAAAACAGCTTTTGTTTTTGTTTGTTTGCTTTTGGTGGGGGTGGGGGTGGTGAGTGCAGGCAGGACACTATACAAGGAAATTCACAGTAGCTCCAGTTCTCACTGTGGTGGAATAGATGTCAAGATTGAACTGAGGCTTTGGGGAACAAATGGCCATCTTCCTTCACTTACTTGCTCCCAGCCTCACTGCTAGGAGGTGGGCGCTAGGATTGCTGTCTCAGTCTCGGGGACACACAGAGAACTTGGTTCAGGCCTGTAGGCAGCTCACCTCCAGGCACTCAAGTCAGCTTCTGCTAAGTAGAAAGTTATGTGGTCACAGTAACCAGTTAGTCATCTAAGGTTAAAAAGAACCCAATCAACTCTAAGAAAACCCCTCCATTCCCTAAAATGCAGGAAAAAAGAAGTCGTCAAGTCCAATAATTACGCATAACACCCTGGTCTCCCTCTCCCTTTCACAAAGCTATCGTGTCACTGTTTCAGGATCCTAAAACCCTGCACATTACACAGGGGCACAGGGAAATGAGCAGCTAATATTCTGTAAGCACACAGATCTCATTTGCTTAAGCATTATCTACTGCTTGTCATTTGTGGTTTTTCCAGTTCTAACTAATGCTAGGCCATGCTTCTAACCTGTCTCTTCTATGTTTAGAATGACGTCCTTCATTTTCAGAGCTCAGGGGTTACATCTTGTTAAGCAAAATTGTGAAAAGCTTTATAGGTTACAACTGATAACCAATACTGTGTTAGTCGATGTTTTTCAGTTAATGAAATCAAAAACTGTTCTCTTATGCATCTGTTACAAATTAACCCTGTCTGTTAGACAGCCTAACACCACCCAAACAAAGAAAATAAGAACTGGTAATGAACATGGCTCCACCAGCAACACAATACTGACCTACTTGATGGAGGGCTTGACCTCCATCCTCAGCACCACCCACACACCCACCAACCAACAAGATACGGAGAAAAAACTGAAAATAAGTGTGCTTCAGTGCTTTAAACTAGGTTAACAAATGAGGTGTGCATGTGGAAGGAGTACATTCCTGGCCACATCTTGAGGTTTCAGGAAGTCAGTGTGCCCCAGGGAGACCAAACCCCTACACCAGTGGTACCTGCATTAACACTAACTAACACACTAAACTGCAGCTGAGGCCTGTGTAGTGTGGCTGCCTAATAGGTGAGTAAACAACCCTAAAATGAAGATGCCCTCCAGCACCTCACTGCAGGCTGTGGGAGCAACCCTGTGCTATAGCTGATGAGCCTGAGAAAGACTGCAGGACATAAGCAGAGCAAGGTTCAAGATTAGCTCCACAAGCCATTTTGAGGTGAGTGTCACGGTACTGGACCATGACAGGGGGCAGCGGTAGACTGCTCTATGTGCCAAAGGTCTCAGAGCCGTAGAGAAGCACAACAATCAGGGATTGAGATGGGAACCTTATGCCTGGCTCTCAAGAGGGTCGTCCTGGGAATGGTCTCTATCCTTTAGATCTAGCCTAGCTGCCAAGTGTTCCAGTGGTGGTGTCCTGTCCTGGTCACCTTTCAAAGGATAAGGGTATAAGCACGTGCCAAGGGCCAGCTCTCTTCTTATGCCTCTGGGTGGCCAGAGACTGGAGCAGAGAGAACAAAGAGGATCAGAGCAGCCATCTGGTGGGGCAGTGACCTCTTCCCAAGGCTGAGTGACTGTCCAGTACCTCCCAGAAGTGCCCTGCTGCCTACCTGCTCCACTGCGTGCTCTCTGAGCCTGTGGCAGCACTCTTTTCCTCGTCTGTGGTATTCTGCTCCCGCACTGAGGCCCCAGCAGTGGCCAGCTCCGAGAGCTTGCTACGCTCCATGATCACCATCTCGATCTCTGGAAGCAAACATGGAGTCAGGTGAGCTCAGCTGGCATCAATAACAGAAACTCAGAAGCCTCCTCAAGGTCTAGACCAAGCACGTGTAAAGCACCCCACACATGCAGAGCAAGTCTCAACAGTGGAAGCGACACCTGCAACATGTGAGCAGAAACTGTCTAGGTCAGGCATCTCTGTCCATCTGAGTGAAACCAAGACACCAGCCCTGACTCGGACAAACATATAAGGAAGTTATTTGTTGTATTTTCTGATTTAAAAAGACACTTGATGCTGGTTGTTACCACATTTCCTTTCCAAAGGGTGGGTGGCAGCTCAGAAGACAGAACATGTGGCTAGTGAGTCCTTACACTTTATACTCCAGAAACAGTTCTCACACGACAGAGCCATGTGTCCCCTTTCCATTTACAACCTCTGCATGGCAGAGGCAAGTTAGGACTCATTTTGGTTTTCCCAACTCTGGGAGAACAACTTATAGCAACCTACTTAAATTGTAGTATACATTTTTATTTCCCTAAATGTTAAGGACCACTGAGCAGAAGAAACACCTGGAAGTCAAGTGTGATGCTTTGCTTCCTGGGATCCCCAGCAAAAGCCCTTGTCACGCAGTGAGGACTTTCTCAGATGGGTGCAGGTCATCCTGAGCTGGTGCCCTGTCCTGGGGTCTCCACTGGCACATGCGGATCTCAGCTGCCTCTGCTTCCTCTCTCATCCTCATTTAGTCTCCACACAAACCTAGTGGTATTGAGTGGAACTAAGCTCCCAATGCCTTCTCCTGACACTCAGGGCCTGACACCTCCTACGCCTGGCCCTGTCCACCTCTGATCTCACCCCCTGGCCTTCTCTGCCAGGCTGCTCCCCACTCTGGCCATATGAGGCTTATTGATGGCTGGCTCTCAAATGGCCCACATTTCTCAGACATGGGTGTTACTCAGTAACGTCTTCCAGTGCTTATTTCAAGTGTCACCCTTTGAGATGCTGTGGTCACTCTCCTCGCCTGTTCTTTTCCTTAGTTCTTTTTAAGTGAGTGCCGGCTAAACTGTGAACTTGTTCAGATTTCACTCCCTTCCCCAATGTCCTTTTTGTTCTATGATCTCATTAGATCCAGTCACTGTGCTTAGGCTCTGCTGGGCCATCAGAGTTTTTCAGACTTTCCTCGTTTTTGATGAGCCTGACAGTGTACAGTGTCCTGGCCAGAAATTTTGCAAATCCCAGAATTGGAGTTTGTCAGATTTTCTCCCCCAACCATTAGGCTGGGGCTATGGGTTTCACAGAGGAAGACCACAGTGGAAAGTATCCTTCTTGTGACATCACACACACTGGCAACCTAATCTTAAGACTGGGTGTTAGTCCTGTACTGGCCATGCTAGTACTAGGCTTCTTTATGGTCAAGTTATTCTCCTTCTTCTATACCATGTAAACTGGCCTATTCTTTTGGCCAATGAGGTTAAGTTTAAGAAAAAGAAGTGGGTCAGTTTACATTCTGTGGAATGAAGTCCACACATAAAGCACTGTTGTTGCTGTTACTGTTAGCAGTGCAGGGGCCTTGGGCATAGCTGAGGCTTTGGGCATGCTAGCAAAGCCCTTAGACCAGTGGTTCTCAACCTGTAGATTGCGACCCTTTGGGAGTTGGATGATTCTTTCACAGGGGTCACCTAAGACCACAGGAAAACAGAGAGATTTACATTTCATGGTTGGGGCCACTATAACATGAGGAACTGTATTAAAGGGTCGCAACATTAGGACCCTTAGATATTGAGCCACACCCCTCAATCCTATTTGCATAAATTATCTGGAATTCTTCCCAGAAAACGTGTGCTCTTTGCCCCCGACTTTTTTCTGTTTCTCCTGACAGCATCTCTAATCACATGCACAGACATCCCCTTTGTTTTACTTGTTTAGTCCTGGCCATCCTCTACTAGGCCATGGGCTCCCCAGCATAGGGTGACCTCTTGGATATGTGAATGGATCACTGCCTGCATCCATTATAACATGGGAAGTTTTGGTGTAGGCAGGAGCAGCAATGGGTTGTAGCAGCTGTGGCATGGATCAGGTGATCCAGAGCCTAATAGTCTACAACTGTTGTTCACAAAGTTCTCTCATGCGGAGATGTCTGACTTGCCCGCCCCCATCACACACATGTGCTCTCTTAGTGTAGCCAGCCCCTGGAATTGTGGTGGCAATCCCACAAGTTCCCTCTGGAGGCTCACTGGGAGGTTGGGGGGCTCCTGCTCTCCCCACCTAATCTGAAGCCAGATGCTAGATGAGAGTTTCCCACACGGTAGTCCCCATCACACAAGAAGGGACCAACAAGTAATCTTCAGGGGGTATGTGGACAAGCATTCTCTCTGGATTGTTTTGTATGCATCTTATAGACACTGGGAGACTAATCTAGCCACATAAAAAGCCTATTCTTTTGTGCAGTGAGGCTAAGTTTAAGAAACAAAGAAGTGGGTCAGTTTACAGAAAGCTCCTGACTGAACAACAGAACAGATAGTACTCGGTCATGGCTGAACAGAGAGATGGCACCAACCCTGTATTAGGTGCCATTTCTTCCTTTCCTCATTGTTCTACCAGTTTCCTGCAGCACCCAGCCTCTTCCTAGTCATCATTTCAGGTTTTAAAGAGTGAGGTGCAAGATGATTTGCTGTGGAGGCCTTTTTCTTACCCTTAAGTATCTATTTTGTTTGCTTTATATTGTATATAACTTAACATGGTGATGTGAATATGTATTATTTATAATAAATGTGTTTGTTCTTGGTAGATGCAGGCTTCTATGCTTCTATTTTGTTTGTATCTGTTTGTGTTTACTGATAAAGAATGTCACTAAGACATTTGAAGTCTCCCAAGCAATGACACTGGCCTCTCCTTGGCTCTGGCCTCTAATCTCTGCCTGGTGATCCCACGCCCAACTTGTGCATGCTGTGAGCTCACTTGCCCTGGCAGAGCTCCACCCTGCTTGGCTGAAATGGTGGGAACACTACTCCCAGGACTCCTCAAGTCCACAGAGTCAAGTTCTAGTGTTGAGTGTGAAGGACAAGCCAGCACATCACAGTAGTCCCCTTTCCAGACTTTGCACGTTCCTGGACACCACCAGGATTCTGGAGCAAGAGAAGAGTTCAAGAAAGTCTAGTTCACTGCTTGTCAGCAATTTTCCAAGTTACTCAATAACTTTCTGCTTTTTGGAATACTGGGGATACAACCCAGGACCTTGTACATGTTAGGCAAACACTTTGCTACTGAGCCACATCGTCAGCCATCAAGATGAATCTGAAGGAGCTTTCCCAGGGCATGCCCATATAGAGGCTAGGTGAGCATAGGGCTGTTCCAGGTACAAGTGGGTAAATATCAACTGTCTGCCCATGGGGTCACTCAGGTACTCCAGGGGTCCCTTCCTAGAATTCTAGGACTTCAAAAACAAAACAAAACACGTGAGATCTGCTTGTTTGTTCCATCTGGCCAGTAAATCTGAGCAAAGAGCAACCTAGAAGCACACCAGCTCTCTGTATAGCCAGAACATGCAGCAGCAGGGAGCACAGTTCCCGGTTCCCCACCTGAGAAATGTGGCAGTAGAAGCCATGAGTCGCTGGCTGGGTCATCCTGTACTCCCAGCTATTCACCCAGCCCCGCTGAGTTCTCCCTGATTCGGCACCACCATGGAAGATGTTCTGCTCAGGTTAATATTTCCCAGATGACTACAGATCAGTTCTTTGGAAGTCAGAACAGGCCTTCCTCTTCTTGTAATCAACTTTATTCAGAAAACTTTTATAGTGTTCTCACCTGGGCTCCACCAGTTCCCTGTCCCCTATGAAATGGGAACAGGAGTGGTTTTGGGGGAAGAGGATCTCCTCAGTTTGTCACAGCCTTAAAATGGACTTCATAGCCATCTTTAAGAGGATATTAAAAAGGCTGTGATCTTTGCTGTGAACCCCTCTTTATGCCACACCAGAATGCCTATGGTGGTCCTGAGCTGCTTTCCAGTCCCACTCTGATCTGTCCTTGCTGATGCTACACTTATTCCAGGGCAGCCAGCTTCTGCCAATAGGCCAAGTAGTATGCTCGTATGACTCAGGAACTTCCAATCACCACAGATTATGCTAATGGCAACTCAAGGGCTCCACTGAGCCTCAGTTACACTTTGAGACATCCCTAGCTCCACCAGTCAGACTTCTGTTTAAGTGAGAATGGCTTATGTTGAAGCAATAGCTCTTTTTTAAAGAAATTAAATTGTGTGTGGGGGTATGTGTGCCTATGAGCAGGTGTAGGACCAGGAGGATAATGGGTGCCATGCTCTATTACTTTCCACCTCGTTTCTTTGAGACACGGTCTCATGCTTTATATTAATTGTGCCTGTTCTGCACAGCAGTGGAGTTACAGGCATTTACAGAAGCACATCTAGCTTTCTGTTTGACAACTGGGTATGTTAATTCACGTCCTCAGGCTTGTTCAACAAGCACCTTTATGTGGGGAATCTTCCCAGCCCTAATGGGCTCATTTTAAAAAGGTTGTGTCATCATTTGACCTGATAAGGTCCTTGGAGCCTGGAAGATTTTATTAGGTACTGAGACGATATAGGATGGGGGGGGGGGGTGGCGAGTGACAGCCACCCACCTCCCACAGTCTCAGGCATTTGAATCTTTGGTCTCCAGTCTGTGGCACTGTTTGGGCAGAGTTAAGTAGTGTGACTTTACTGGAGGAAGTATGTCACTGGGGGTGGGCTTTGAAGTTTAAAAAACCAGTTGCCATTCCTAGTTCATTCTCTCCACTTGCTGCTTGGGGCTCAAGTGTGAGCTCTCAACTGTTCCTGCTGCTGTGCCTGCTTGCTGTGACACTTCCTCATTGTGAAGGTAAGCAATGGATTTTTATCCTCTGGAACCTTAACAAGAGATAAGAGTGTCAAAAATGTATCTATCACACTGCCCTGCCCCATAAGCAAAAGGCAAAGAAACACAAATTTGACTTTTTTTTTTTTTTTAAATGTCTCACTAGGTAGTCTAGACTG